GGGGAACTCTGCAAAAAACGCATCTTCGCACGGGCAGCCCGTGCGTTGGCCATTTATTTTTTTTGGTTAGGTTTATACGACTTCCATCGCCTGGACAGATTTTTAGTAATAAATATTCAGTTTTCTGATAATGAAAATATTGGAAAGATTCTTTGCCGGAAATTTCGTTCGAACTGCAAAAATGAGCTCTTTAGCTTGTTTTTTTTTCAGGAAGTTTCACCTTATTTCTGATGTCCAGCCGAAGGATTTTTTCGCTGATGGGGATTTGCTGGCTCCATTTTGAATGAAATGAAGTTTCGTGGAAAACAAGACCATAAACTTTTGGAGCTGTAGAAATCGCAACAACTTGAAAGCTTCCATTGCCTGCGCTTGCAACATCCATTGCTGCTATTCTAAAACCATATCGTTGCTTTGCTACCGGTTCCCACTAAGGTTAACCCATTCCAAAATTTATTCTGATGATGTTGGCTGTAGTCTCACCTCATCATAAATATTACAGCACTAGATTTTCTGGTCGTGGTTAATTGGAAAATTTGTAGCACAATGACCTGGGAGGCGTAGGAGAAGAGACTGGTGTGAGAGCATCCCAATAACTTTACTAACATAACCGACAGTCCCAACGGCCCGGGTAATACGAGGTTAAGTTTTCCTATAGAAAGCATTTACATTTTGTAAATTGAGAAGCAATTTTGCTTCAAAACCAGCAAATAATAAGCTCCGTGGAAAAAAAAAAACAAAACCAACTCAGCAGTTTCCGGAAAAACATAGTAAGCTAGTCGTTCCATCGCATTGTTGGTTTTATTCAGAATTCGTGGAAATCCAAACAGATTTTTTCGCCGACAAAAATCACTGTTTATTGCTTGGACAACTTGTACGAGATTGGGGCCATCATCAGATAATAGTTCTTCGATTTTGTTCAAGTCGTATACACATAGTGCAGAAATTGGCACAGAATCATAAGTAATCCAAAATACAGCAAACAGGAAATTTCCAGATATACGGGCATATTTGAGCGCTGTTAGCTGTGAAATGGCATCAATTGGGCAAGCAAGGGACAGCCTGCCGAATGAACTGAATGTGTTTTTGTGCGGCCCAGCAATGTTACCAGTACCAGGATCACTAGCACATATGACACCAATTCGACCCTAAAATAAGCTTATGTAGTAGCACTCAGTTCATAATTCAATCCCCACCTACCTCGTATTTGCTCTTTATGAGAGGCAAACGCTCTCGGAAGCAGCCCGGTAGTAGCAAATGCCAATAGCAACTACTAGCTGGGAAGGCTGTCGATGAATCCTTATTTCGAGGTTTGCTTACAAGCAAATTGATGCAGAGTTTAACTCCCGGTATATGCTAGTACCAATTTACCATCGAAAATAATGAATGAATTGTAGAGGGATTGGTTGCCCCACTGGCAGGGCCGAACCCTGGACCTTCTGGACGGTAATGGTGCTATAGCAGCCCCTAGCCACTGGCTAACAGAAAACATGGAACGAGACAGGTGGGGAAATAGCTAGCCTAATGAGCAAGACCGAATCTTAAATACGTGTTCTTCGAGCTGACCTTTCAATAAGCGCAAGTGGACGCGTGCGTCACCAAACCTCTCCATAAGGCAACCTTCTTTGAAAGAGGGAGATATTCGAACGTTGCCCGTGCGAAAGCCTTGGAATCCCCTGTTCATATTTTGCACTTGGAATCACCCCACTTTTGGAACCACAATTTCTAGGATAAATTCTGCCGCAAAAGAGGATTGTCAAGAAGAAAAGAATCCAAGTCCTGTTTCCCAAAATTTTCAGAAATTACCATAGCTAAGCCACGTGGATTTTTCTCGTTGAATATGACAAATACATATTGTTTCCAGCCGAGCAATGCAATAAATTCGGGATCTGAAAGCGGATGGTAAAATGTACTGGTCAAGCGGCCACTACAAGCAAAGGGCAATTTTAGAATATGAGAAAACTCCGAGATAGTAGGCATATTCCAAACGTTGCCCCCAGCAACTGAAATGACGCTTATTGGGTATCTTAAACTTTCAACATCAATAACCATTTTGCTCTTAGGATGACTTAACACTTAAATCCAGGACTTTCGAAATCAGTCATTTACATGTACTGTTGGCGTGCTGGAGAACAGGTGGGAAAGATGAATAGAGCGATTCCTTTGGTAGAGGTCCAAAATTCGACTTGGCCCCACGCTTTACGATACTTCATTCATTCTTATAATACTCTCAAAAGTCGAGAAAGCGAAAATAGTTTGTTTCTAAACAATCCTCGGAAAAATAGCCTTTCTAATAGGTAGCTGTCGTAAGGGCGTCCTAACAATCCGGTAATTATGAACGTCTCTAAGAGTAAGTAAACTTTGCAGACTTATATGCGTGTATGCAGCGTATATGAAATAATCTTTCTTTCAATAAACTGGCAGGAACTGTATATTTTTAACTAAACCCACATTTGGGATATTTGGGATTTAGCAGAAATGTGACAAAACCCTTCAACAAGCCATTCGGATAATCTGAACATCAAAACTGCTACAACGCACAAAAAAATAAACCCAGACAGTGTCAATAAACAAATTCGCATCATACCATGAAACCAGCGGTCATCGTTTACCGGTATCCAGAGTCTTTCGCGATGCGGTAAAGCTCGGAGCAAAGTTCTTTTCTGGCAGGCAATATCAACGGATACTGCTGTGAAGGTGTAATTTTCAAACGATAAGTGTAAGGCAGCGCAATCACTGCTAAAAGCACTGAGGCCAATTGCGCTAAATACAGTTCCCTCACATTCCTCCGATAAAGTCCATTTCTGCAAACAGGTTGGTAAAAATCTTTGAAGGAGAAAGAAAATTCTTGGAATGAAATTGCGCTTGCCCCACAGTTGCTCCTTTGAATATTTCGAATTTCATAGACGTTATAAAATGCCTTTTCTGGTCAAGTAAATTGACAAAGACGAGGGGTTAATCAGTTAAAATGTTAGTGGAACCAAAAAGGACCGGGTACCTTTCTTGTAGTGCAACGTGGTGACAGCGCATTGGTACCACAAATGTACAAGCAATCATCACCATACTTCAATAACTGCGTAATGTAGTTGTGGCATTTCTCCTGCAAACTTATCAAAAGTAATTGCAAAACTTTTCCTGCACCAAGGCGATACTACGATGAAAAACGGGAATTTTCATCTTTTCACAACTTAGAAGCCGGAACTCTAGAAATAGGCAAGAATTTGCTTGATAAAAATCAAACTACATTTTACCACAAAAACCAAATTTTCAACGAAAGTGTTTTTTTCTAGTAAAAGGGCAATAAGATTAGTATCAAAGAGCCAAACTCCGACACTAGACGGATCCGGAAAAACGAGGTTCAGAAGGATATTTTCTTTTAAATACTTGTAATCTTTGTTTAGGAAGGAAACAAAATTTGGCTGTGGAACCCTTCTCACCAAGAATACTTGCTTACAGTAGATTTAGAAAATTCCTCAAAAATTTCGCTCATTGCCCTCCAAGACATAAACATTTCTAAGCTAATTTTTTGCAGGCGAGGTTAATTTGGCGCGAGAATTATGCTGTCAACGATTAAGTTAATCAGCATAAACTTACTTCGCTAAATCCCTTCATCATGCATTCAGCTGTTGCTGCTCGGGTAGCATTCAGTGAGACTGCTGCTTGTAGTCGAAAAGTCTCATTAGCAATGGCCAAAACACGATTCCTGAATAAACTACTTCTAAGCACAGTAAAATTACCTCTCATCTAGGCCCTTTACCATTTGTTCATTCGTTCCGATGGTAAATTGATACCGTTATATGCCAACCCGAATCAGACGCGCCAATATTTTGCTAATAATCGACCCTCAAAAGAGCCTCCATCGCCAGCCCTGTAGGTATGTGTCTGCCGTTAGCTTTTGTAACTATTCGGGCTACTTCTCAAGTGTTTTCACTTTTCATACAGAGCAAATATCTAGAAGTTCTTGACAAACTTGAAGCACAGTGAAACAATTAAGCTTCTGGAAAAGCTAATGCCGCTTACAGCTGCTGGATTTCCCAAGACTACACATGCACATTACGTCAAAGCTATGAGGAACAATCCAGTGACAGGCCGAAGTCCATCAGAAGATGCTTAATTACGCGAACAAGTAAAACCAGAAGCAAAAAAATTAGGCATTAACTCAGTCTGACAATAAATGAGGAAGAAAGGGGTCCAACAGGGTCCAAGTAAGCCGATCAGGGATCCGGCGTGACCACCATAAATTCTCATATATTGTCCAAAAAAAAAACATTCAAGAAAAATATTTACTGTGTATTAGGGAAGAAGAAAAATGCCGATAATTTTCAGAAAAGCAAAGAAATATAAAGTAATTTGATAAAACACAAATGTGGTATAATCTGATAAAATTCCAAACAGCAAAGTTGGTAAAGAAAAGAACGTATGTAGTTAATTACAAAGCTCAGACAAGTAAAGGTACGCAGTAAAAAAGATGTTTCAAATTTTTTAAATTTAATTTTAAGGAAATAAGCAATAATTTTATTCCGAGATAATAAAGCTAACTGTTTTTACTTTATATTTTGCAAAAAAGTGCGTTAAAAATTTCCGGATTTGGAAATCAACATACTTTGAAGCGATGTAGAAAGTACCGTTGTCTTCGAGTACCGCCAGCAGATTTTCACCCATATATTCTTTGATAGCTGTTATTTCCTTTGAGAGGCACTTTTTGATGAAAGCGAGAAAAATGATGCGGTAAAGGATGACTACATGTGGCCACATCGAGGAATGTTACAATGAAACCATGAGTGCTGAGGCATCTTTCATCGAAGCCATCTGTCGCTGACTGGTTGACAAGCGTATCAGGACTCGATTAGATCAGCGACCAGCTTGCAGCAGCTGCTCCTTCTCACCAGCCCAGTTCAGTGAACTGCACAAAATACAGGTATTTTCGGTTTGCAAAATTTTTTTTTAATAACTTTTTGTAAAGTTGTTTTGAATGCTATCAGCAAATTCTTCCCCGAGATTTCGCTGTCTGTTTGGGATGTAGAAACAGCTGGGAGTAGCTCCGAGTGGCATCACTGTGGAGGATAGCCTAACTGTCCTATCTAGCATGCGCAAGTAACAGTTTACCATCGAAACGAATCGAAGATGTGGGATTTTTTTTTTTGTCACACTTAGATCAATGAAACATTAAAAAGTTCACGCTTTCTTTAAGAAAGTAAGACAAACTTTGATCAGCTGTTGTTCCATTTCGCCATTGATGCAGCTGGCAATTTCTCCATTCTTCTCTGTTTCGGAATTAGCTAATTATGCTCAAGGCACTTTTTAAAGTAAGCGTGATGGTACATATCCAGCTAAATTCAAACTGGTTTGCAAAGCTGCGCCATTCATGTAATTGCGTCCATTGGTGGATCTACCATCAGCGATCGTGTTGTAGCATTTGCTAACTACTTATCTCCTCGACTTATCACCTTGAGATAACTAAATGTAATAGGTTTAAAGGACGACGCTTTCTAAATCTACACTATAGTAAGAGAACATAATGTTTTATCGAAACGTCTTATCTCACTCTCACCTTCTGTAATCTACACCGCTACTTCCTCCTGAACTCCTTCAAACTTTTGCCATCTGCACTTCCAGGGTCAACCTGGATGCTGCAATCTGCTTAGCGTCAGTAAAAGTAACAAACTTTCTGAACCTTCCACAGTTCCCAAAATTACGCCCACTGAAGCTGCTAACAAGGCAGCTATTTTATCCTTTCATTGAGGGTTATTTATGACCTCATTTTATAGTTTAAATATTAGCGTGAAGTCTTTAGCGTTTTTTTTTTTTGTATTCACGCCAGTTTCTGGTCCTTTGCATGCATGACAGCATATTCGTGAGCGATCTCATCTAGCCGTAAAATGATGATTTGCATTTTGTTTGTTAGTAGAAATTGTATTGTGTTTTCTGAAAGTAGGACTTATCAGAGGATTAATCTTCTAAGATTAAGTGCTTAAATTTTTTTTCCTTTTTGTTTGTTTAACGGCTTATACATCCATATACCGTTTCAGCTAAGCATCACGCAAAATGTTGTCCCAACTGTGTAAGATTTCAACTACCACTTTTTAACACGTGATATTTAGTTACTAGCAAGGCGCACAAATCTCCCGCTCATCGAAATTTCACTTTATCTCTTTGCCACAACTAAAACTTTCAAGCTGCTGATCTAACGGAGCGCCCGTCTGTACGTTATTATTTAAAAAAAAAAAAGCATTCTGACGCCCTTATCAGAGCGCCTCTCTGTGCATACTATTAAAAAAATTGGCCAACGCACGGGCTGCCCGTGCGAAGATGCGTTTTTTGCAGAGTTCCCCGC